AATGTTCTACGCGATTATCGTTGGTAGAAAAACTGGTATTGTATCTACTTGGAAAGAGTGTCACCAAGCAACGAATGGATATCCTGGAAATTGTTTTAAATGATTTGACACATATGAGGAGGCTGAAAAACATTTTTCTATTGTATAACAACAATGAAAGCATTTCACGGAATACACGTTGTACATCGGACAGTGAAAGCGACGATTACAGCGATCAAGAAACGAGTATTCCACTTACTGCGTCTACATGTATGTCTGATAACAGTACATTTAACAGTAACAGTAGCAGCAACAACAGATCTTATGAACTCACTGATAATGACAACAGAACTAGAAATGTGAAATGCCTTATTGCATCGAAGTTGTCCGATGACGCCAACGGCCGCCATCGATTGAAAAGACCGATTTCGAACTTATGTTTTTGACACTAGAAAATAAATGTTGTTCTTTAGAACATAACTTAGCTACACAGGCGATAGAATTTAACAAGTTTTTTCAACGAGGCGAAAGAAAAGAAAAGGAAATTTGAGTTGGAAACTAAGTTACTGATCAAAACTGTGCCTTATTATTAGAATTCAACGAATTAAAGCAACTTACTCAATGTCCAAACTGAGATAGGAATAGAGACGAAGAATATACAAGACGCCATGGCTAAAGAATGGAAGCGAGATCTTCAGAATTTGGAAAACAGTCTAACCTCCAATGTAAACAATCCTAGCATTGGATTATCTAATAGATTTCATTGTATTTAAGAGAATGACCATGTAACAAAAAAGAATGCCGAGATTGAAGATAAAGGTGCTACTGCTAAGGACACCATCTAAACAAAAGACGGCTATGACGAAATATACACTATTAATAAAGTCAAACACACAAGTGCTTTTGAAAGTTCTAATCATGACGTGTCTGGATATAATGTTTTACTTATTGGTATTTCAATTACAAAACATATAAACCCTGCAATGCTATATAGAGGAAAAAAGACAAAGAAAATCAGGGCATCCACAATTTGCGAGGCTGGGCCCTACATTGATAATGTAAAAAACACTCTCAGATCTCTTTGATATTATTGCATGTTGGCACAAATGACATCATGAATGTTGTTAATCTATTGAAACAACAAATGGATCGTCTAGTGAAAAATACTGTATCCAAGTTTGCTGGTGTACAGATAGTGATGCCCAGTATATTATTGCAAAAGGAGGAAAATGTAAATTACGACATAGCTGAACTAAATGATTGGCTAAGAAATAAATGTAATTCATTAAAGGCATGCTTATATATTGAACATAAGAGACTAGTATACAACAAAGATTTATTTACAGAAGATGGTATCCACATTACCACTCATGGCACAAGTGTACTAGTCGGAGATATTAAACATGCTTTACGTATGCAGTACAAATGCAGATTACCGCTACTCATCCAATGTAGGAATGAAGAAGTATGAAAAGAACGGCAATCTTGATTATCATCAGAAGTATAAATCTCACACCTCTCGGTATGTGCAACCTCGGGAATATGCATATAAACCTCATGATCACAAATACAGGCAACGTTATAACTCAAACCAGCCTGAATATAACTATTATAATACTAACTCTCGTGAAACAGACTCTCATGTTCGTCGTGACTACGAGTACCAATCACAGTCATATCCTCATTCTCAGCGTGATTACCACAGTGATAATTATTCAAGTCACTATAACTATGCATATGATTGTAGTCCACGCTACAATGACACTCGCTCTCATAATGAATCAAGAAGTGGAAGTAGACGTCAGGATTACTATTATGACTTTCGTAATCAAAAATATGGAATGTACTACTGAAGAAGTTAATACATGTATACTTATTTGCAATAACATTGACCTACAATCTGTTGTAACCGCATTAACATACAGGTTATAAATAATGCAATTCAAACTTAAAAATGATAGTTGGAACATCCATGGCTTAGAGAAAAAAAGCATGGATGCTGATTTTGTATCAGCAGTTGAAAGTTTTGATATTTTGTGTGTTCAGGAAACCTGGTTAGGTAACAGTAGTAATTTTGTGTTAGATATAGATAATTTTTGCAGTTTTAGATCTGATAGAATTAGAAAATCACCCAAAAGTAGAAAAGATTCAGGGGGTTGAAATTTTGTTTAAAAATAAATTTAAAACGGAGTTATCGAAAATTAATTCTGAAAATAATGACTTTCTATGGTGCAAGCTGGACAAGACTTCTTTTCCTTACAACAATATATTTCTTTAGCTTGTATTTACATTCTACCAGAGGATTCTGTTTACCACTAAAACAAAGATTATTTCAGTATTTTGGAAAAAGAAATTGCTAGGTCCTCTCATCAGGGTGACGTAATCATGATGGGAGATTTTAATAGTAGAATTGGGAATATTGTTGATTTTATTGTTGATGATTCCAATAGTCATGTGCCAACCCCCAAAACTACATTGCAGATAATTTTAATAGAAGATACACTTTAGATAAAAACACTAACAAATTTGGTAACCATCTTGAAGATTTGTGTGTAAGCAATGACTTGATAATTGTTAATGGCAGAGTAATTGGCGATTTATTAGGAAATTTTACATATCATCACCCGACAGGTTCCAGCACTGTAGACTACTGTTCAGTTTCTAAGAGTCTCTTTCTTTGTGTCTGTTACTTCAAAGTTGGTAATCTGAGTTGTCAAAAAAAAATACATTGTCAAAAAAAACAACAACAACAAAAAACAAACTTGGAACAGGCCATTTTAAGTTCTACTTGGCTAAGTAATTTTAAAAAAAATGTACAATTTAGAAAATGTCAGTAACAATGAAATTACCCAAACACTGGGGACCAAAGAGTAATCAACACTGGACAATTCTGTTCTGAATTTAGATATTACAGAAAAAGAAATTTTAGATTCAATAAAAAAATCCAATGGTGATGATGTTGTTGCAAATGAAATACTAAAAATAAGAAGCAAATCACATATCCAAAGTATGTGCAAATTATTTAATAATATTTTAGTTAGTGGTACATGGAAGTCGACTTCCTTAGTTCCTTTACATAAATCTGGTGATAAGTCTGATCCAGGAAATAACAGAGTAATTGCAATATCCAGCTGTTTATCCAAATTGCTCACCAGTATTCTGAATCAAAGATTACTTTTATATTTGGAATCAAATAATTTGCTAAGTCAGACACAGTTTGGTTTTATAAAACAGCGTAGAACCACAGATGCCACTTTTCTCTTAAAGACAGCAGTGGATAAAACCTTGTACAGCAAACAAAAACTGAAAAATAAACCAAGAAAATTATATGCTTGTTTAATCGACTTTATAAAAAGCTTTCGATAGTGTCTGGAGAAAAAGTTTATTTTTGAAACTACAAAACTTAAATATTGCGGGAAATGTTTACAACATCATAAAATCGATGTACAATAATATGAAATACAAAGTAATGTTACCAACAGGTGATTGTTTTATATCTAACTGTGGAGTAAAACAAGGTTGCAACCTTTCATCAACTCTTTTCAATATATTCATTAATGATCTTTCTACTGTATTTGGTGAACAAAAAGATAATCCTGTTTTAATTAATGATACACCACTGAATGACATTTTCTATGCAGATGACCTGGTCACTTGATCATCAGAAAGTGCAAAAGGTCTACAAAACTGTTTAAATAAATGATCAAGTTATTGCTCACAATGGAGATTAACTATAAAAGAAAGAAAACCCAAATTATGCTATTCAATAAAAGTAACTATTTAAAAAACAACCACTTTATATTGAATAATGAAACTATAACAACAGTAAAAGAGTTCTGTTACCTTGGTGTAATCTTCACACCGAACAGAAAATTTAAACTAAATCAACAAATGCTAAAAAACAAAGCATTGAAAGTACTGTTCACTATCAGACACACAGTTTTGCGTCACAGTCAGTATTGATTGAATCAATGAAAATAAATACTTCTTGGAGAAAAAAATGTTAAAAAACACTATAGAAGTAGAATTAGATCGCCGAAAACATCCAACTTGAGGATAGAAAGTGTAAGAAATGTGAAAATGATGTGATAGAGGATGAGATGCATTTCATTTTGGAATGTGCATGTTTTAAAATTGAAAAAAAATCATTATTTCTAGAGTGTTACATCATTAATAAAAAATCGTAGGCAAGCAAAATGGAGATGTTTTTTTGAAAAATACATTATTCAATGGAAATACTTAATTATGTAAATACGCATCCACGAGAGACCAATGTCTTTTCTATGCAATGTCAGTTTTAGTATTTTGTACTTTATTTTTTCTATGTTGTCCTTAATTTAATTAGTTTTATCATTTTAGTCTTTTGTTATTTTTTACAATACTAAACCCCCCGATAGTTTTGGTTGTGTAATACAGTTATTATTATTAAATTCACATTACAATCTGATGTTTCCGAATAATCAGAGATTTATGCTGGAGAACACATTATACAAGGACTTGGAACTGCCCAGTACACATAGTAGTATTGAAAATATTGACCCTATGGTATACATGAAAATAAAAAAATTAAAAACCTGTAGCCCTCTTGGGCAAGTTGACAATTCCTAATATTGCTAAACCGCCATTGTGAGTTTTAAACCTCACTTATTAGGATTTCTGCATGAAGTTGCATATCATTATTGTATATTATATAGTAAATTCTTTAAATAATATTCTCAACTCTGATGATGAGTATCAGTTATTGCGACAAAGCCCTCCTCACTGCAAAAGGTAATCAGTACGAAATACACTCATAAGCCACTTATCGCGAAGCTACTAATATAAATAGTAAAATATATATCTTATATTATCTGACGTTCGTCAGGTTGTATATTTTGTTTGCATTTCCAGAGTCATAAAACTAATATCACATGGCCAAAGTCCAACTATTGTCACTAGCTGCAATGACGGCCACAGGTGATATCCAGATGAAGCTCTAAAAAAGGCTTGACCAGCATGCTGGTGCTTTGAAAGTAGGCGACATGAAAACCAGAATGGACGTGTGTACCCCTGATGCTCTTATTATGCCACCTGGGTGTACAATAGTGAAAGGAAGACAAGGTAAATTTAAAACATGGTCTTATTTGCATGAACAACTACCCGATTCTTTTGTTACGTGAATATTATCAATATACTACTTTGTCCACTGTAAGTAACTTATATATATAGACCAGTTTTTTTTTTGCACATGTCATATATAGTTATAATATATGTACGTGCAACATAACTCAAACAGCCATTTCGACCTGTTTTAACTGATTACCTGTACATGTCAGTCCTTCTATCCCCGGTCTGGAAACACTTGGCAGCCTATTGCCCCAGGGGTGGTTGCAGGTAAATTAACCGTTCACACATTGGACAATTATCCTCGAAGCTGAGCGTACACTAACTTAAGCACTGCAATTACAAACTTCAAACAGAACAGAACATATTACCATGATTTATCAAAATATGAATATCCGGGAAAAAAAACTAACCACATCGCTAAAAGTACTGTACATTTATATGCAGTTTTCTTACTATAAAAGGGGTCAACCCGCTGACGCGTCGAGTAAGTTCAGTAAATCAAAAACTAAATGGTGCCCGTAAATAAATTCTCATCAGGACAAAAACAAAGTCTGCAATAGAACTTGCAATAGTAGACTTATTCGAATAGTATTGTTTAACAATCTTCTTATATTATACATCTCTTTCAGCAATTGAAAACCTTGAAAAACGAAACCAGGCTATGTTTAGCGATGTGTCATTTACTATAAGTGAAGTTGGAGACGTTGGTAGTTGTCTTTACACAATTATAGCAACCAAGATGATTCAAAGAGACACTTCTGAAACAGTAAGTTTCACTGAATTCATCATCTGGAAGAAAATTGGTGATGAGTATTATGCTCATCGTGTCATCTGGAATCATGATAAACAAAGCAATCCATCGAGCAATGTAGCATGACATCTTTATTCGATATGTTTGACTAGTTATAATATCTGTCATTGAAGTTGAAAAATTCCATGTGTAATGTAATAATGAGTGTTACTAATGTACTGAAATTACACTTGCTGTAATAAAATGTTTGTGGATAACACTAACAATGTACCATTATTGGTGTTGCACTGTTTGCGTTACAAATAGATCAAATACAAAAATTGAACCAATTACAGTGTAGGAAAACAGTTACCAGTACAATGGGAAACAGCAACAACATTTAGTACGTAGAAACAACAAAAATCAAATAAACATACAATTTATACACACTTAATCTAGGTTAAATGGCCTTCGGTAAATGGCGGAAAATCTTAACCTGGATTGTAATTGGCCCATTAATATCACTTCCTAATTGGGCAGTTCGATGGCTACTACTACTATACTACTAGGTACGTACATACATCGGTGAATGTTATTGTTAAGTTATGTTTGAAACAAATAAACATACAGTTCGATATCTAGACCAATGTACGTCACAGAGAAAACACGGGGAGGACAGATACTATTACTGTACATTATTGACTAGATACCCTGCACGAATATATGACTAAAAGGATGTCACTATAGATTACTGATGCTATCAGTCTACGATATTTCTAACGTCACAGAAGGGTGTTATCGCCAGACAGTGCTACTTATTGAAAAAATTATTAAAATAAAATAAAATAAAATAAAGTATATTTATCATCTACCATTTATAAAATGATGAGACAGATCAATCTATATGTTGCATGACATATCGTATAAACTCAACCAGATTCATGTTTCAAAAACACCAGCACTAATATTCATTTCATGTTTGAATGTGTCATCTCAACATTGTTTTTTTTTTAATTACAATAACTTGTATTCCATCACCTCACGTTAATACAATATTTTTAGGGGTAAACAATGTGACACAGCTCACAAATATAAACTATATCATTCTATTTTATAAAATAATTCATTCTTTTAATTGGTCTCTTTATGTTTGACACATTTCACAGATTCAAAAATCTTCAAAAATCCGAACCACTCCAGCAAGTGATCTAAAATCAGGGTTACATCATCCATAGAATTTATATGACAATGCCAATGTAATGTAAATTGTTCTCATATGTTTTTTTAAACAATAAACTGGTTTCATGTGTATCCGTCGTATCATTTCGCACATCATGTTTGCCATCAATGCATTTGACATGGTCACGTATTATTCCACCGATAAACGTAATTATTTAAAATAAAGCCGTATGAGGGCGTGGGGACTAAGTGTGCGTTTTGGGGTGTGGTACAAAGCACATATGGCCATGTAGCAAGAAGACATACTATACAAAATATTACCTGGTCGTGGATGTGGTAGATTGTGCGCAAATGACCACAGGAAACAAATAGGTTGACGTTAACTACAATACACATTCCTGCACGTGAGGGATAACGCGCCACTATGCTTTATTGTTGTTGAGATCACATAAACTTAATGACATGAAACTATTCTTATAGCCCCAATTGTGTATCTATACTGCGGATGTGACCTTACACTTTGCACTAGAGTGACACATTTCGACTCTCATCGCGCTGGAAATACTAGTAGTTAGCTGTGGTTATTGATTACATTGTCAATCACCCTCCATAAGTAAACGTGTGTATCTAGTTCTGGGACCACAATGTTTATACTAGAGCGGAAGACATTCGGCCACTTTCATTTATAACATTTTGTTCACGTGACCAAGTGTTCAACTACTACCCCCTACTTCTGCAAAACTCATAAATTTTTGATAATTGTAAATCTTGAACCATTGAATTATAAGAATTAAATCGGAAAAACCAAAATATGGCACTGATCTAATTATTTAGGGTTTCAAGCCTTCAGTGACTGTGTGTACTGAGTGTTCGACAAGAATTTTGAAGGTAGTCTTAATCTCGCTGTTTTATGAAGATCTAAAACAAAAACAATTTTATTGCTGCTTATCAGGATTTGTAGTGTAGTGCATAGACACTATAGACACTATAGAAAGTGTTGGTAAAATATTAGGCAAATATTTCTAATGACATAAGACAAAGTTATATCACAAAGGAATAACTTAATAATAATATTAATACTATTATTATCATAAGAAATACCAAAACTATTACATTATATACATATCTGTGTAGTTGTCTAGATTCAGCTGCTAACTCCGCCTCCACTGTCGACGTCCCCCTCAAGCGGAGGCAATCAGACTGTAGGTGGACAGTTTGCTTACAGGTGGCCGGCATCCAGTTCTGGATCTAAGGAAGCTAAATCAGTATGTGCTCCTCGATTGGTTCCGCATAGAGACGCCAAGCTCTGTTTTAAGTGACACTCCTGTCGACTCCAGGAGCATGGGCCATGGACGCATTATCAAAACTGTGGGCCCACATGGACGTGTATGCCTCCCGTTGATTCAATGGGTGCTGGAGAAACTTCGACAGGAGCACACCTGCATCTTGACGCTGGTGGCGTCCAACGGGCCAACCAAGGCCTTGTTTCCACTACTGTTAGAAATGTCAGTCGAGACACAAGTAGTGCTTGTGGACATCCCGGATCTGCTGTCCCGACCAGATTGCCCAGTACCAATGAACCCAGCAGTGTACCACTTACACGCATAGAGGCTCTAAGTAGACTCACACAGACAGGAAGGTTCATCTTAGCGGGCTGCCAACGTCCTGGCCAGGGCGAATAGGGATTCCACCAACGCAACCTACGACTCAAAGTGGCGGGCATACATTGATTGGTGCAATGGAAGGGAGGTTGATCCATGCCACCCAACTATTGGCCAGGTAGCTGAATTTTTCGTCCATCTGTTTGACGAGTTAGGTTTATCCTATATATGCTATAGGTCAGCCTTGTCACCCACCATTGAGAACACTTTGGGGACAAGACTAGCCGATTGTCCTTTTATTAGGAGACTGCTTTTCATAATCGAAGGCCTAGATCCCAATCTAGGGAACCTTTTAATTGGGACTTGTCGGTTGTGTTGTCAGCTCTAAGCGGACCTCCCTTTGAACTGCTGGAATCAGCACCACTGAAATAGTTGATGTGGAAAACAGTCTTCATACTAGCTCTCGCCTCTGGTAGGTGTCGTTCTGAGTTAGGGGCCTTGTCCTTTAGGGCGGTTGTGCCGCCTTTATGGACAATCAAGCTGTGCTAAAGATACGAATCGGGTTTCTAGCCGAGATCCAAATCCCAGGGCACGATCCACAGCCGATCGTCATCCCCGGCCCCATTTGGCCAATATTGACGTTCCAGAAGCCAGGAGGAGTTGCTTCTATGCCCGGTTCAAGCTTTGAGTTGGTATGAGAGACGTACTAGAGAGTCGAGGCAGGGCAACAAGTGCATGTTTACGTGTTATGGCCAGGGTAAGCAGGTATTTTTTAGGGTGGGTCCCATCGTCGCGTGTTATACTTTGATTGTTGACCCAGCCCGGAAAACCACAGGGATTCCTGCGCATAGGCGATATAGCAGTCTTGGCTCCAGAATTGTGCAAAGAAGTTTCTCCCACCAGCGCTCCTTGGACACTCCCAGGTCTCGCTTTCGGCCTATGCCCTCATGCAGAACTGTTTCGGCCTCTTCTTTTAGGAATGCTAGTTTTCCCCAGAATTGGGGGTGGGTCTATCGTCCTCGGGCAATGCCGACCTCATCACCCTATCAGCAGTATGCTTTTACTATAGAAACGACACTGCCAAAGTAAGACACAGTTTTCACTGGTCTTAGCTAGATGGTAGTCATAAGTGAAATTTATCCCGGGATAGGACACATTTCGAGTATTTACTGTTTTTATCGGAAACCGCCATCTCTCGGCGTCTGACTCTGCCTATAGTTCAAAATAGTCATTTTGACTGACTGTCTATGTCAGGTAATTTAACATAGTGAATTTAAGGCATAGGGTTTTTAACACGCCTATTCACCTAGTTCATACCCACCATAGACTTCCAATCCCCCACTTTCCGTAGCGATTGGCTCGTATACGGAGAAAACAGGAGGAAAGTGAACATAAGGCCTTGATCACGTGTTACGTGACGTGCAAGAAAATCTATGAGGTCATGGAGCTTCCGCTGACCTAGATTTCTCTCTCCGTCATTGGCTGAATTGCAGATTAATGCCTACAGTTCAACATACCCACCATTGACTGACCGGAGTGAACCCTCTGCCTAAATCTGGTGAAACTACCCCAATCATTCTCTTGTAGGAATGTACAATTATATACGTATTATACACGATTTGCACCTAGTGTTAAGACAGTGTGAAGCAAATTATTTAACCCATGGTGGTATATTGTTAAATCTAACAATTCAGTTCACAACACCCACCTATGTTAAAATGGATTTATCATTGACTTGACATTACTTCACATATATGTGTAGCTATCTTAATATACATGTTCAGTGGCCTTGTCTCCAATAGACGTAGGTGGTGTTAATCTTGGACAAGACCTCCATACCCTCATGAGTGTGTATGAGGTGGAAGCATTACTTCATCAAATGATGAAGCAGGTTGAAGACTGGACCTTCAACCTCATTATACTCACTTCTCACCATGGTGAGAATGTAGTTTTTTGTGCTGTGAAATAAATAAATAAATAAATAAATGAAGTTATCCAATATGATGTTAAATGTACTCATTTTGACTTGCACATAAATAACTTCAAACATATGTAACTTAATGAAACATCAGACTCGTGATAACAATGCCAATTCCGAACACCTCAGAAATGAGGGCGCCCTTTTAATGTATGAAGCATTGAGTACAAGTCAAGCATATTAAACCCACTGTAATAGAATATTTTTTTTCAGACTAATATTTCAGGAAAAAATATCATCCTAGAGTTTCTTATGTCTATATTGAGACAATGAAAAAC